AATTAATATATTAAAAATTAAGCAAAACAAAAAAACAATAGTTAAATTTATTATTCAGAAGTAATTTTGAGGTCATTTTTAGTTAAACATGATAATAGTTTGGAAATTTAAGATTTTTTGTCACGGCTAGTTTTGGGTGTAGAGAATTATATTCAAAAAAAAAGAACATAGATACTTCGCGAAAGATATATTAAAAAGTATAGAAAAAGAAATAGAATTAAAAAATTAAAAAATTTTAGTCTTTTATTTCAATTTGTTTTGAATAAAAGCTACTTTTAACAGATTTTTCTATATTACTTGGACTCCCAGAACTACTTTGAAGGGTAGAGCTCTTGGCGACTATGCAACTGGATCACTATCGGTGATATGAGTATAGAAAGGCAAGGTGACGATTGGAGAGGAGGAGGAAGGGTTGTTCAAACACTCTCAAAAGCCAGTAACCAGTTTCGTCATTCCAGTTCATCTCTTTAAAACTTCCTCCTCATAAACCATACTCAAACGCAACTTTTAGGGTTTTGTCTTTGTACGAAGAAAATAAGGCAGTTCTTAATGTCGATTTTCTTCTTTTGCTTTTGTTTGCGTGTAGTGATTAACTCCAACTGTTCATCATTAAATCGATCACAGGGGTCTTAACTCAAGCGTTACTAAATAAAATCTATTCATAACCTCAAACTTTGGTAATTAAACCCCCAGCAGTAAATATAAGCAACAACAATCAATAACGACATAAAACGAAAAAGACAATTTTAAAAAGTTCATAATAGTGGAAAAACAAAACTATAGTTAACAGTCAGTATGGTGCTGAAGTTAATTCTGGAACGTCTTCTCGCATTTGTCTGCTTATATAGTCCTTCTCAACGGCCTTCCCCTTTGCCCCATATCTACTTGATCTCCGTTCTCGAGGTTGTCAAAGATCCTTCTTTCACGTTTTGCTTATCTTTCTGATTTGCATTATCTACCATTGTTGCAGGTGTACAGCAATGATAAGCTTCCAAGCTGGGGGTATGAGCTCTATTTTCTTCGCGTTTCAGCGACACTGTTTATAACTCCGTTGAGTTGTTATTTTCCTCCTAATATTGATTTCATCCTTTTGGTTCAGTTCATTTATTTTCGTTTACTGATTAATAACTCTTCGTTAATTTACTGAGTGAACCCAAAGCTCTAGTGACCAGCGTTCCCTTACATCGTAAATCGAGCATTTTTGGTACGGAATTGTTGCGTAGGTTAATGAATTTGTATTCATTGACCTTTCATTTAACTATATCGTATCATCTAGGTATTCCTTTAGTTGTAATATTTAGAGATTAAAGTCGATAAAGAGTTTCTCGAATGACAAAGACCAGTGTAACAACATCACCGCTCGATTAAAAGGAGGTTTATGTAGTTCTCAAATAGGCATCGCCTGCGACTGCAACTAAAATCGCTTGTAACGAG